GTTAGAGTAAGGGTCCTAACAAGGGTCATGGGGATGAAAAACTAAAGGTCAAAAACTAAGAGTCACAAGGGTCAAAATAAAGGTTACGAGGGTTATAATGAGGGTCAGATTAAGGTCCCAAATAAGGGTCACGAGGGTTAGAACCTCAGGATCACAAGAATCAAAATAAGAGTCTGTATATTTTCTCCATATTATAAAAATCCAAATCGCTTTCTGGTGATGAAAATTTGGTACTCGAAATTAAGACTCCAAAATTAAGGGTCAAAATAAGGGTCACAAAGGTTAAAATGAGGATCAGATTAAGGGTCGCAAGGGTCAGAAGAAGGATCACGGGGGTCTTGTGGGGGTCGACGAACGGAGCGACTAGGGGGCCTAGCCCCCTAGTCACTTGATAAAAATTTTCAAAAAAAATCGAAAATTTTCAAAAAACATTGAAGAATTCTTGATAGTGCTCCACATATAAATCGACAGTTGCTTTCGTCGAGAGGACCGAGTTTATAAAAATGATGAAATATGAAACGAGGTGAACGGATGAGTCCAGATATCGCAGTAAAATCCTTTGTGCATAAGTTATAGGGCAACGAGTACTAAAAGCCAACCGCGTTTTACTTGGCATCGCAGTTTAACAGGGTTAAGTCGTGGCGGTTCCCGGGCTTTTAATGCAAACAACACCCGTGCATTATATATCAAAAGCGGAAAACACGGAGTCGACTGTTTTAATATGTACCCAGTGAATATACACGTCTCTTTCACGGGTACTATTTTAGTTCTCTCATTTACACTGTACTGGACTGGGCAATTGTCAAAATTATCGCCGGCCACATTCTTTGCATTGGAGAGGGCGGAAACCGTGAGAAAGACCGCTTGATGAATGAAAACAATTTCATTCGCCAAAGAATGATAGAATTTCAGCGGATAATGCAATGAATTCAGTGAAAATTACCAGATTTTTGTGAGTTTTTTAATTGAAATACTAGAAGTTTTTGTGATCTTACGGATTTTTTCACTCGATTTTCGGAAAATTTGAAGGAAAGTTATCAGAAAATCACGAACACCAATTCAATTCACTATAAAAGACGAAACTTTCATCTTTTATACACTGAGAGAAAGAAAAACACGTTGTCAAACAAGTCTTGTTTGGGCCAACAAAATCGCTAGTTGAAAATTGCCAAAAAAGAATTTGTTTGGTTCGAATTTGCAAGTCTCAAACATGAATAATTATTCTGCTTTCGACAGCAACGAAACATTTGGCTCATGAGGCGGATAATTCACACCAGACGGTGCCTTTTCAGGATGAAAATATCTCATATAGAGGAAAATTTATCAACAAATATTTTATCCCTAAGTTACAAGATTGCTATCATATCATTATTATTGTTTCATTTAAGGGTTCATTTGTTGTCTGTGATTATTAGACAGCCGAAACGAAAAACTACTATCCCTTGTTTCGCATAAAACAAAGATTTTTCGGGAGCAAAATACGTATGGGAGTATCGAATAACGAAGGAGTAGTGCTAGAAATGACATTTCTCGCGTGTACAGAGAATGCAATTTTTTTTGAACTACTAAATCTATTTTTGCGACAAAAATTTTTCATTCCGGCGCACTCTCTGCATGTTTGGCACAAAAAAAACCCTTTTTTGATAATTTTCAAAAAACTATTGTCTTGGCACAAGTAAGACTTGTTTGAGAACTTTGTAGTTTTTCTCTCAGTGTAGATAGCCTAATAAATTGAGAAATTAAAATTTCCTTTCGATGCAGTACTGACAATTAATTTTCCCAGCAAATGCCCATAGACGAAAAAAATCCACACATCCTTTGTGATGCCGTCCGTACAGATAAATTTTGAGATAGACACAGGGTTGTGAGTGCAGGAGTTGGGGGATATATTCTTGAATCGACATTTGCGCTGGTAATTCAATTGGAGCGCCCCTGCACGCTCGTGTTCTTTGATTGAATTACGGGGAATGAGTCACGCTGGGCGATGGAGAACTGCAGTGTCTGTGAATCCCAGTCATTGGGTTCATGATCAAAAACAGGAGAACAGGGGAATAAAAACGGTTGAAAAAATGAAATTCGAAACAAGGGCAACAATTGGGATTGATGTGGACCAGTCTGCACGTGGACGAATCGATAGAATCATCCGGTTTATCAACTTTATCATATCACCGGCTTCACCCCCCACCTCCGCCACCAACCCACTTACGAGCGGAATCCACCGTTTTTCATCACCTGCATTTCTACGCGAATCTGAAATTTTACTGTAAATTCGTCAAAACCAAAAGCTGAACTCATTCACGCTGGATGTATGTGTGTGTGAGGGGATGGATTATATGGAACAGAGGACGTAATTGAGTAGCTATGGCCGCATGCAGGACCAAAATGCAAAGCCTTGATTGAGGTGGATGTAAAAATCCAATTTATGGGGCTTCAGATCATTTTTTGGATTTTGAGAATATCTCGATTCTTGACTAGCCCAGCATTGCTGGGCCTATGCTAGGCCATGTCATAGTCACTTAGATGTCGTCATATATAATTGTTTAATCATTTCAACGGTTCTACAAATATTTCTGGAGTGAAATATGATTGGAGTAAATATTTCTGTTGATGAAGAAAGTTATAGTATCGATTGAGAGTGGATTGGGTCTGACGTGGATCAGTCTGCTCGCGGACAAATCGATAGAATCATCCGGTTTATCGACTTTATCATATCACCGGCTTCACCCCCCACCTCCGCCACCAACCCACTTACGAGCGGAATCCACCGTTTTTCATCACCTGCATTTCTACGCGAATCTGAAATTTTACTGTAAATTCGTCAAAACCAAAAGCTGAACTCATTCACGCTGGATGTATGTGTGTGTGAGGGGGTGGATTATATGGAACAGAGGACGAAATTGAGTAGCTATAGCCGCATGCAGGACCAAAATGCAAAGCCTTGATTGAGGTGGATGTAAAAATCCAATTTATGGGGCTCCAGATCATTTTTTGGATTTTGAGAATAACTCGATTCTTGACTAGCCCAGCATTGCTGGGCCTATGCTAGGCCATGTCATAGTCACTTAGATGTCGTCATATATAATTGTTTAATCATTTCAACGGTTCTACAAATATTTCTGGAGTGAAATATGATTGGAGTAAATATTTCTATTGATGAAGAAAGTTATAGTATCGATTGAGAGTGGATTGGGTTTGACGTGGATCAGTCTGCTCGCGGACAAATCGATAGAATCATCCGGTTTATCGACTTTATCATATCACCGGCTTCACCCCCCACCTCCGCCGCCAACCCACTTACGAGCGGAATCACCGTTTTTCATCACCTGCATTTCTACGCGAATCTGAAATTTTACTGTAAATTCGTCAAAGCCAAAAGCTGAACTCATTCACGCTGGATATATGTGTGTGTGAGGGGGTGGATTATATGGAACAGAGGACGAAATTGAGTAGCTATGGCCGCATGCAGGACCAAAATGCAAAGCCTAGATTGAGATGGATGTAAAAATCCAATTTATGGGGTTTTGGATCATCAGTTTTTTTGTGAAAAAATGAATTACCAACTAGGTGGCGAAATTCACCAAATAATTTTCTCCGTGTACATTTGTAGCGTAATACACTATTTCTTCACTTGTGAAAATGTCAAACGATAAATGTACTGTGATATTTCCCTCTAAAATTAATACACTTCACTGATATTTTTGAATTCATCAAAATACAGAAAATTTACTTATTAATTTATTCTAGTCGAAGACGTTTTGCTATTTGACTGCTAAATTAAGTGCACCCTCGAGAAATGTACGCGGCGTGAAGTGCCCCGAGAATAGCTATAGAAGTACAAAATTCATTGCAACGCCGAGTGAAGTACAATTTCTAGTTTAGTTTCTCGTTTGCCGGGTCGACCTGGTTGGTTGACGAGAGTGAGGTGGGACACAGTTGGCCAACGGTTGCGGATATACCTAGCAACGACCACTCTAAAGCTTCTTAGAGTCGACCCATCTAACTATATAAAATTCCGAATTATATTTTTTTTACAGAATAAAAAAATCATCGATCCGGGAAAATGGAAAAACTCTGGAAAATGTAATGCGATTGTTTATTTAAAAATTCTCACAAGGTATATTTTGACTTCAAAGACATTGAATTCAGCCGCGGAATAATTCATTGATTCATTTTTTTAATTTTCGAATTTTCCAAAATTCGGTTGTAACACGGTAACTAAAAAAAAATGTTCTAAATTCATTGAATGACGGCTTAAAAAAATCGTTGGGATGTCCTTTTGACTGAGTTCGAAGATGGAAGCGGTAGCAGTAATCGTTATTTTGATTTCTGTGAAATTTTTCCAAAATTTCGTATTTTTCGAAAATCAAAATTCCGCAGATAAAAATATAAATAGCGAAACGTGAATAAAAGATGTAACTCTTGAAGTAAATGCCAACTTAATGTGACGAGAATATCAGCCCACAAGGGAACGAAGGGGTGAGAGGAGTAATAGAAACGAATAAAAGAAAAACAATCTGTTATATGTAAGAAAGGGATAATAAAAATAATTGTAATGATAGAATTTCATTAAGTAGAAAATCCAAAACAATTAGTTGGAAAGAAATTAATTCAATTGAAGAAAATAAAATGGGCTATGAATAATATATAATGCTAAATATTGCTAAATTATTAGCAAAAATAACTATACTATACGCAATACAGGAGCAATTTCCCACTTGTTTTTATTTTAACCGAAGAAACCTGAAGAAATAAAAGCATCGTGACGTCATTTCGTCGTTAATCGAAATGAAAAAATTTGTGTTCCAAATTTTTCATTCAACTTCCACATCGACCACTGAAAAAATTCCATGCGACCCCCAATTGACGTGTTTTCTCGTCAAAAATCGAGACAATTAAAAAATGATGAAAGTCCATTTGGAAAGAGAAAAAAACATAGTTCAACAAAAGATTCTCTTAATAAAGACAGAATATCTGAACGACAATACAACATTGTTACCCACCTGGATTCTGGCCTCGTTCAATTTCGTGCTCCTCGCTAATTCCTCTCTGCAGTATATGTCCGGATAATGGGATTTTGCGAACGCCGATTCCAATTCCGCCAGCTGCTCCTGCGAAACAATTGGAAACCGTGTTTGAAGGCACGTCGCATCTATACCACCCTAGGACACCAGTCCGCTCGGTATGTTTCAACCACATGTACACGGAATTTTCGCTGCATGAGTCAGTGTAATTAACTTCATACTTTGAGAAAATAGAAGGGTTGAGGGAAAGTCGTGAATTCTCCTTCATCAGGTAATTTGATCATGAATCCATTTCACCATAAATAAATAATAAATAAATAAATTCATTGTGACAAAGAGCCTTCAAATTAAGACTTTTGAAAATCTCATTTCAAGACATTTAGAATGAAATCTTAAAATTAGGTATTATTAGGTGCACAAATAAATTTTAGGACACTTTGCAAAAAATTTAAAATTCATTTTCGAAATAAAGTAGACTTCATTTATTCATCAAAATTATCTCCATCATTTTGAGTTTCATCTTGCGAGGCGAGGAAATTATCAACCCATTTTTGCACTTCTTCAAATGTTTTGAATCGCGCATCAGTCAACTAATATTTCCGCTTCCGAATGAAAGCATTGCAGTAGTGAAATCTGAACTTTCACTTTTTTTGTGTGACAATGACTAATTTTGGTCTGAGTTAGAATATGCTGTTTTTAGATCATGTTCGTATTAGTTTTTCGACGATCATTCAAAACATAATTGTCGAAATCTTTTCAATTATGGCTTAAGGATGTTCTACACCCTTTCTGCCAAAATTCACGTTTTTTAAATTTTTCTGGCAAACTTATGATGAATTGACGTGAAAAAATATAGCGTTTTTGCGTTTTGTCATTATTTAATGACTGACGAAATTTTAAGGTGGTGCGAACATTTTCGTGCGTTTTCTCTAAACTTTTAAAAAGAATCACAAAACTGTAGAAAAAACGCATGAAAATTATCGCACCACTACGCAACTTCGTGAGCCATTAAAGAATAACAAACCACAAAATCGTTATATTTTTTCACGTCACTCCCATCGATAATTTGCCAGAAAAATGAAAACAACGTCAATTTTGGCTAAAAGGGTGTCGAACATCCTTAAAATATTCGTTTGGATGTTATCTCGGTCGAGTTCGAAGATAGCGGCGATCGCATCATTTGCTTTGTAATTATAGCCTTAAAAAGCATTTAATCGAGGTTTAATCATCGTTTAGTCGGGATTTAGCGGGAGGTTAATCAGGGTTTAACCAAGGTTTCGTCAAGGTTTAACCAGTGTTCAGTGGAAGTTTAAACCAGTTTAATTTTAATTTAGTCGGCGTCTGTTAGATGTTTCACCAGGGCATATGGAGCTCATGTTAAGACATTTGGGACATTTAGGGATCATATTAAGGTTTCATGGCTGGTATATCTTCTTCCCCAATTTACCATTCAGAAGCAAATTGCTAATTCATTAGCAAAAAAGTTATACTGGTCTCAAGTCCAGTTTAAGGAAAACTATTCAGGAGAAAAATAAAATTTAAATAATTTACTTGCGACCGAGGAGACATCAACGTTGATGTATCAGGAGCATGAACTCTAGTGATATCAAATTTTCCATTCATTTTGTTTTCACTCAATCTGTCTAATTCAAAATAAATTCAGTTCACTAAAAAATTTTAACTCAAATTGTCTTTTAAAAAAACTATTGAATTTTCCTGAGGTTAAACTTCAGGAAGGATTCCTACTAATCTGAAATTAATAACCGCAAACCGAATATGCACTTTTTTGTTTTAATTCGATTAATCCATTCTGAAGAAAATTGCTAATTTTTAGCAAAAAAATGTACTTGATTTAGATTTGTGCAATGGGCCACTTGTTTTGGGGGTATTAATAGTTAAAAAGCCTCATTAACAGCAACTAAATCCTTCTATCAGTGCGAGGCACTCGAAATTCTGAACTTGAGACTTTCAGCCTTCGAATTAAGACTTGAAAATCTCATTTTAAGAGGTTTGAAATCTTGAAATGAGGTATTATTTTTTTGTTTTAATATTTCAGAAGCCTCCTTGACAGCAACTAAGTCCTCATATCACTGTAAGTTCGACTACTGAAACCCTCACCTTACATCTCCAAAAACTCATTTTTGTTTTCTGCAACGAATAAATGATAAATACCTGTGTAAATGTGGTCCTGTGCCGCCGTCGTGCGGGCGTCGGACAGCTGGCTGTGGTTGGTGTGTGGCCGATGTGTGGACTGGAGGCGCAGGGTTCGGGTTTCAATTTTTTAAATGCCCCCTCGGCGCCTGAAACCACAAAAACCCCAGATTAAAATTGAAGAGAACGGAAAATAAAGATAACCCAAGTGAACGAAAAAAAAAAAAAGCGGAAACCGGGGGATCTGAGGAATGCAGATGATCGACTCTCAAGTCACGCGTCCGTTTGTCTCTGGGTGCGATGGGGTGGTGTTCACCCAGGAAGAGGTGAAACACCGTGGGACGAGGCGAGAGATGACGATGGCACACCAAGTCCCTCGCACTATGCTAACTTGGTTAGGGCGTTAATGACCTAATCATGTTACATGCTGATTCAATGTTCGAGGATGAATGCTGTCCACTTTACGCGCCTTGCCCCCGTTTACCTCATTCAAGCAATCCTGGGTAACTCGGTCAAGTTCAGCTAAGAAATTACGCCACTCAGACGGGTGTACGTACACTGGGAGAAAAACGACGGAGTTGTCAAACAAGTCTCACTTGTGCCGAAAATACAATTTTTTTTTAAATCGCCATTAATGAAAATTTGATTCACTGATTCATTTTTTTAATTTTCGAATTTTAACTAAAAAACGTTAACTAAAAAAAATGTTCTAAATTCATTGAATGACGGCTCAAAAAATCGCTGGGATATCCTTCTGACCGAGTTCGAAGATGGAAGCAGTAGCAGTAATCGTTATTTTGATTTCTGTGAAATTTTTCCAAAATTTCGTATTTTTCGAAAATCAGAATTCCGCAGATAAAAATATAAATAGCGAAACGTGGGTAAAAGATGGAACTCTTGAAGTAAATGTCAACTTAATGTGACGAGAATATCAGCCCACAAGGGAACGAAGGGGTGAGAGGACGAATAGAAACGAATAAAATAAAAACAATCTGTTGTATGTAAGAAAGGGATAATAAAAATAATGGTAATGATAGAATTTCATTAAGTAGAAAATCTAAAACAATTAGTTGGAAAGAAATCAATTCAATTCAAGAAAATAAAATGGGCTATGAATAATATGCAATGGAGAAAAATCAGCAAAATGACCATTCGGAAGCATATTCCTAACTTATTATCAAAAATAACTATGCTATACGCAATACAGGAGCAATTTCCCACTTGTTTTTATTTTAACCGAAGAAACCTGAAGAAATAAAAACATCGTGACTTCATTTCGTTGTTCATCGAAATAAAAAAATTTGTGTTCCAAATTTTTCATTCAACTTCCACACTGAGAGAAAAATATGACTCTTCTGACTATATTCCGTCACCATCGAATTATAGTCAAAAAGTCCTCAACAATTTTGCGTGGGTTACGGTAACTATGGCCGGAGAAGTGATTACTACAATGGAATGTAGTCATTGCAACTATTTTATAGTTCTACTCACGATAGATTTGTCGTGGTTACTTTTGAACTTTGGTTAGTTTAACTGCATTTTGATTTGCAAAAATTACGCTTGTGAAGTTACTATAATGTTATGTGCCGCATACAAAAAAAATCGTATGGTTCACGAAAACTGCCTCAACTATTTTCTTATTGTAAATCGAACTTCAGATTTTTCTCTCAGTGCACATCCACCACTGAAAAAATTCCAGGCAACCCCCAATTGACGTGTTTTCTTGTCTAAAACTCGAGAAAATGAACAAAAATAGCTTTTTAAAAGTGTTTTAAAAAAATTCACAACACAGAAGTCATTCAAAGCCTCATTAGGCTAATATAAAAGCTTCTCCATGTATTCCTGAAAATTGTTAAAATTTATATAATTTTTCGAATAATGGAAGAATACCCGTGTATTCGATTTCTATCCTCGTCTTTTAATAGAATGAACAGAATCAATGACAGAAATTGAGAATTCGAAACTAAAAATTTTATCGGATTATTATTACGCAATAATAATAGGTGATTATCTCGGTATTAATTCTAACACATCTCAACAGCTGAATCCCGTAATTGGAGGACAAATTATTTGCACATATCCAACAATACATTCGCCTGAAAGTGAGCCATGTTGACAGAACTCTCGAGGCATAATGGGATAACAAAAAGTGTGATTTCCGGGGGAGAGGTGTGAGCAAGTGTGTGCGGAGTAGACGACACTCGACACTGGAACATCTGTCAACAGACGGATAATTAGCTCGGGATTCTAACGAGTGGACAGGCGCCATCCACTTCACTGTGGGTATCGACAGGAGAAAGAAAATTCGCTAGAGTGGAGGACTATTTTCAGCTGCAATGCATTAACATCTGGAAGGGATTACAATAATTATGAAAATGGAGAGAAAACCCTTCCCGATAGAGAGACATTCGGACGACTGAAGAATTTTTTCTAGCATTTTTGAGGGTGACATTGAACAACGAAAATTGAATAGAAAATTCGAGAGGATTTCGCTCAATCTTGAAAATTGATTTCAACAATTTTTCGAAATCATTTGAGAGAGAAGAGAATCCGTTCTGCCCAGAGAATTTTTCCAGACTTTTCGGGACATTTTTTTAAATAGAAATATTTTATAGAAAACAAATACATTTTATTCTTTTCTCTATAACGAATTCTATTGAGATATATTTTTTTACTTCTTCGGCATAAATTTTCCAAGTCTACATCACTGCATTTTTCCGTCTCTCATTAAGAGACTGAGGCGAGAGGTTTTCATATGAAAACAAAAAAATCAATATCCAAAGGTTGGGAAACCGTTTCACGAATTACATCGGCGATTTAGGCCCGAGTCCAGTTAATTTATTCACAATAATTTAGATGGTCTGTACAAAAATAAACTAGTGGATTGGGCTGTTGGTCGTTCGCTGCGCTCGCTCCCATTGCGGGTGGGTTGGTAGCGGATGTATTCATGTGGGTCTGACCCGTCGGACGGGTCCCACCAACAACTTCCCGACATTATTATTCCTCCCATTTTGACTAAAAGAATCCTTTTCAACTCTCAATACTCTCTTTATTTATGCATGAGAAACCCTTGTCTGAGCGATTTTCAAATTTTTCTCCAGAAAGTTTTGGAAAAACCACTGGAAAAACCACTAGAGTTTCAGCAAATCCTGGAGAAATCACTGGAGTGATTGAATCTAGTGATATCCTTATGTTGACAATCCCAATCACGTCATTTATACAGGAAAAATACTTATCTTAGCCATTTTCAAACTTTTCTCCAGGAAATTTTGGAAGAACCACTGGAGCGAATCACTCAAAAATCTAATCAGGTCTAAGTTACATGAAGACCTTTCGATTGCGTCATCCATCGTCTTGATCGCGCGATTCATTCGGGAGAAATCGTTAACGAAAATTCCGTAACATACAGACCTACATACACACACAAACACACACACACACACACATGTTGTTTAGAAGTGTTCAGAAGTGTTTTAGACACCGAGAAACGTGGAGAAATCGCAAAAAACTAATGATTCATTTTCAGGGTGATTACAATAACTACCCGATAGATCGGGAAGTTAATAAACTAACTCTAAATATACGAGATAAGGTTTAGGATCGATAATTGTCCTTGATAATTGTCTGATAATGTTCGCTGAATCACTGGTGAATTTACACGAAAGATTGCGGTGAACTGCCTCTTTACCAATGACCAATCATGTATTATAATTCTTATATTACCGATGATTAACGGATAACCCCGAATAATTAGGGCCAAAAGTGGGGAGAGCCTTAAGCGACTCTAATACATTTTTTTAAAAACTAATTTCAATTTGAGGCTTACAATCTCAAGTTAAGACTTTAAAATCTCGAGAATCTGAATTTAAACCCTCTGAAAGTCTCAACTTGAGACTTTTGAATGTTGAGACATGAAATAGAGACTGGAAATCTGTAGTTGAAATTGAAATCTCCAGTTGATCCTTTCGAAAGTCTCAAGTTCAAACTTCCGAAAGTCTGAATTTAGGATCTTCGCAATCTCAAAATAAGGATTTTCGTCCGGGTGCATTCGGACAGGATCTCGAACAATTTGTTTTTTGTGTAAAATACTTTCCAGTGAGCATTTTTATTTATAGAAACGCGTAGAAAAACTGGAAAAACGAAGGGAATTCCCCATTGAAATATTTTGGTGCCTCCATTTCTCCAAATCCTTCTCAATTTCACGTTTAAAAATTCAAAGAGAACTCAACACACGTGGACATGAGGCATGGTAGTAAGTCAATTGGTGAAGGATGTCGCATTTTCACTCGCGATGGACCGACGAAACTATGCAAATTGCGGATCCAACTGGGCCGAGAATAATACATGAGGGGAAACCACCCCAGATCCTCCGCACACGTGAACCCCAACCAGGAGAGTCGACAAAACGTTGCGCTGAGAATAAAAAATTCCCCAAAGATTGAATGAATTGCAGATGAAGAAAGGAACTGAGGAAAAAATGACTGAAAAAAATAAAATAATTGTGGAGCGAATACCGTTTTTTTCAATTAGTTGTTTTTAATCATTCTCATTGCAAAAGACAATGCGACCGATGAGAATCGTACGTCCCAATTTATCAGCTGTCAAATTTTCATATTACAATCAATTATTTGCACATGCTCTAATTCCTACGCTCACTGAATAAGATTTAATCATAATTACAATTCAATTCCTTCTAGAGCACACTTGAGAGTGCGAATTTCTGGAATTCAATGTTTGTTGATATTCCGGGAAAGTGCGTGCCCACACTGTTATCAATTTTTTGTTTGTTCACACGGTAATTCAATTAATCTGTTGTTCATCTCATCAATATAATTCCGTGCTGAGAATATTGTCATCTCCTGTTTTCAGCACCAAATTAGAAATTAAAACTTCATTTGGAATATTGAGTTACAGCTTCTTTTTATTCTTATCAGAAATTTTGTATTTGGATATTAATATTATTTATTCAAAGTGACAAAATCGATCATCATTTTCACTGTATTGCATTCAGATTCTCCTATCCTTAATGTCAAAAATGTGAGATAATCTCGTAATTCTAGCTATTAATTATAATCAACTTTGTTCGGAGAAAATCGTAGTAAACGCAATATTAAGAAAGCTGAATTGTTCTATTTTTCTCTGACCTAAATTATTTGGACAATTATGATTCGTTTATTCATGTGTCATAGAATGGTATTCAATTCTCTTGTTTTTTAGGCGGGTTTCATGAAAATTCGACGCAACACGATTAAACTCAGTTTATCCATTCTTTTGAGATCTCATTTTTGATTCGAAATGTTGCCTATGCTTATTTTTTTCGAACGTATATCAAGATAAAGACACGAAAGGAGTGATAAATTTTCTCCGCTTTTCCCAAAAAATTTACTGAAAATCGCGTAATTAGTCCGCAGACAAAAAATTTATCCAGAATTTCCACAAATTTGCGAATTCGCTGACAAATTCCAGTGACCGCATTTATATTCAATAGAAAATTTTTTATATAAGAAATTGATAGAATTTGATTTTTTCGTTTTCCTTTTTTATACAACTGATTCTATTGATTCTTCTAATGAAAGAACAACGCAAAATTGAGTTGAAAGAAAAATGGAAAACTCAATTCTAAAAGTTCCATGGAAACATAGACTTTAGATAATTTTTTTCATGAAAAAGCCTGCATTGGATATTTCCTATAAAAACCTCGCAGTCAAGCTGCGGAATTTGTCAATAAAGTCCACGAAAAACTAAACTAAAAACTAACCGAATTTCCCAACGCATTCGTGAGGTTTTATTTCATATATTTTTTTCATTTGATATTTTTTGCAAAGCGCAAAATTTTCTTTTAGACAAAAATAAGCGATAAAATTTATTTTTTAGAAATTGGGTAAAAATTCCAAAAATTATGCCGAAAATTCGATTATATGAAGACATAAAATAATCACAGCATGAACCCCAGCATTTTGTTCATTCTTCCTCCCACAGGAGTGATTTTTTTATTCGACGAGACAAGAAATTTCCTTCACGCAAGGTTTTTTTTTAATTAGTGGTTTTCTGGATATTTTTTCCGTAATTTTTCTCGTGTAGATCCAGCTATTTCCCGGAGTGATTTCCTGAAAATTTCAGACGTTCACCCGAAATGCACCAAAATCAGATCTGAAACGTGTGGAGTATAGAGAGCGAGCCCATTAGGGCGCCCCCCACGGTGTGAATTTCTCTCTCTCTCCCTCGCATGCATCTACATCCCACTGGAGACCCATCATGGCGGAATAATAGCCCTTGTGGAACAGGTACAACCATATGCCGGGTGTTCCATTGTCACTGGGGTAAAGGGGCACATTGCCTGACACCCTCGCGTATTATCATCACAAGCGGTGCAACACTTGGCTAGTCAATAACCGTGAAATTTTACTATCTCGAGAGTGATTGCACATTTTTACCTTTTCCATTTTTTCAACTTCTCTAAAACCTATTTTTGAAATGATTCTGTGGAAGAAAACTCTTCGAGGAGATTATATCTCATGTCCAGTGACAACAGTTGAATTTTATGATACGCGGTAGCATATTGTTTTGCAATTTTATTAGGAAAAATGAAAAACGTGGGAGAATGCGATGAATTGAATATCATTCTAAGAAACATGAATAAAGAAATTGCGATTGTCGAAATCATTTAGGTCAGAGGAGAATAGAACAATTCAACTTTCATGATATTGCATTTGCTAATGTTTTCCACCAAATTTATTGTTTGTAACACGTCAATGTAAATAAGGGTATCCAAATCGAACGAATGAATTTTTTCAATAAAAATTGTTATTTTTACGTCAGGGACCCATTTTGCCCTGCGGTCCATTTTGCCCTCCCCTCTCCTGTATTTCATCCCCAATTGGGGGATGAGTATTTCAATTCGAAGATGATTTTTTTGTATCAGGCCGGGTTGTAGCAAGACCTCTTAAGTGTAATATAAGGGTCAGGCACTAAGTGTCAGAATATATCGGTCAAAAAGTGAAGGTTAAAAAATGAGGGTCAGAATATTAGAGTCAAAACATTAGTGTCAGAATATAAAAGTAAAAAAAGCGGATGTCAGGCAATGAGAGTCTAAATATAAGTCATATATTATGCTTGATCACCCTTTTTAGCCCTTATATGATCTTAATATTCTGATCCTCTTTTTTTAACCCCAACATTCTGACCCTCATTCCTTGACCTTTACATTCAGACCCTCAGTTTTTGACTCTAATATTCCGACCCTCATTTTTCAACCTCCACTTTTTGACCCTTACATTCTCACACTTGGTGTCTGACCCTTATATTGCACTTGAGAGCGACAAACTTGAAAGACCAAAATGAGTGACGCCAGCAGTCTCCAATTCCTCCCCCACTCACCCACGAAAATAATCAACAATAATCCTCTACACTTCAATAATCAAGCATCTTCTTACCAACAGAGGTAGCATTTCCAACGCTATTCCTCCCTGGCGTAGCAGCTGGTGTTGGTGGACTAGCCTCAAGCCCCTGATGCACCCCATAAAGTCCAAAATCCTGTTCATTCGAGCTAGTACTACTGCACTTTCTCTTCTCCTGATTGTGATTGAGATGAAACGTGTCATTATCAACGAGTCCAACTCCGAGGAGTCCTAGATTCGGCCTCAACTCATCCATGAGTTTGTTCTGTCCACAATTGGCCGCCGCAGCTGAGAAGTTCAACTGTCGGCTGAATATAGCCGGAAATATGTTGAATTGTTGATGATCCAGGCTAAGGGTTGTCGGTAGGGAGCCACCCACCGATGTACCACCGACGGAACCAACACCGCCACCCGGGCCACTGCCAGACAGGTCGTTAGCCAGGATGATGCCGGATGGTTCTTCGGGTTGAGGTGTCCGAGGACACTGATATTGTTTCGTATTACTTTTGTTGGTTTATGAAGACATTGTCTTCTATCGAAGCAACCAGGGCACTTCCAACAAGTGGATCAACCTTTTTTCGAATGTCTTTGCTGAAGTCTTCAATGTCAGTAAGATACTGATCTTCTGCCCGGTATTTGTTAATTCAAGTTCTTAGTTTGATCCATTCAAGTTCCTAAGGCCACTTTCAATAAGACAAGTTTGTGTTGTGACCCTTACCGGCCCTTATCAGATCCTTATTCCTCCTTACCTAGGACTGATGGTAAAACGGAATCTTAAAAAGAGCTAGCCGTTCTTCGATGTCTCCAACCTGATCAACGATGCTCAAATAGGACCCGTCTTTGATCCTTCCTGAAGTCTATTCAGCTTTGATCACTAGTTCTTCTAAGTTCCAAAAAGGGGAAGTTGTATCTGAACCTCTCACAGACCCTTATTTGGCGCTTGTCTGAACCTTTCTCAATTGTAACAGGCAGACAGGACTTTCACATGAAGCTATTGTTTCTCCTTCGCTGTCTTCAACGTTCTCTATGATTCTCCAACAAGAGACCTTTGTACTTCAATCCTCATCTGACCCTTATTGAGCCCTTTTCATACCTAATGGTCAAGCGGAAGCTTCAAATGAAGCAGTAGCTTCTTCGATGTCGTCAACCTTCTTTATGATATTGAAATTCGATCCTTATTTGGTCTCTCTTGAACCTTCTCTTGTTTTGACTGCTAGACTTCCCGAGAACCTTGTACTTGAACTTTCATTGACCTTTATCTGGGCCTTGTCTAAACCTTGTCAGTGTTGGATGGCCCAATGAGGTTTCAAATGTATCGGCTATTCCTTCTTCGATGGTTTCAACCTTATTTCAGGTGTTCCAACAAACGAAGGTTGCGTTTCGACCTTTATTGAGCCTTATCTGACCCCATTCAGTCCCGAAGACCAGACTGGACTTTCAAATAAATTGAGTATCTCTTCTTCAATGACGTGTGATTATTTTTCCAAAGCTTTCAAGGCCTTCCAACAAAGCAATTTATACTTCGATGAACACTGTTGATGTCTGATGACCAAGGACGAACCAAACAACTTAACAGATGCTGAATTTCTCTCGAATATCAGAATAGTTCCTAATGCCTGATGTCTTCTGAAAAGTGCTGATGATTCTTTGATTCTCAAAACGTTAATGTCTCCAATTCCATAAGCCAACTCACAACACTTCCGCCTCAATTTCAAGTTACCAACCACTGAATATCCTCGAATCAACTCCTCACCATCAACAAAATCACAAGCACTGTCTCCAGTCACTGAAGAACCGAAAGAAAATTCCAAAAAACAAGAAAAAAACCCGAAAAACAAAGGCACCGCTGAACAGCCCTGAGTCGAGCCCCCCAAATACTTGAGTTCGCGAGGATATATTATCTGTCCTCCCGACTCCCTGAATATCCCTACCTATTCAACGAATCCTCGAAGCTCACCGGTTGGCCCCGATTCCAAATTCAAATCTTATTATTTCACTTATTCAATTAGGCGGCGCCTCAGTCGGGTTATGCAACCCCCTTTCAGGGCTTACTGCTCGCCAGAGAGGGGCAGTGTCCTTGAAAATTCAAATATTGAAATAATTGGCGGGAATTTTATTAAAATCAGGGGGGAATCCCAGGTTAATTGATTCAGCTAATTTTGAGGTTACGTCTGCACTTTATGAATTCTAGTGATTATCTCTGCATGTCAATCAATTTAATTTGCTGAATTAGTATCTCTGGGGTTATGTGTGTGTGTGCGGAATGTCACTCGATTATTTCGTAAGTATTATCGACACCCAATGATGACTATGATGATGGGGACACCGTTCGCTGTGAGTTCTTGTGGGATTCTGTCCACGAAATGCAGTTATCCCAGTGACTTGGGGGATGCGTCCTACAGAATGAAGCGGCGGGGAGGGGGCGGAAGGGAAAGTGAGGGGTGCAGGGGGGAGTTTTAGGGAAGAAACGAGGGGTGGTGGTACAGTTGGAAAACCATCCCCCGCCGATGCCCACTCCCTGCAGTGACTACGCTGGGGCTGCTCGGGGATGTGGGAGAGACAGAAATTCACTGGTTGGCTCATCTCCACGGTCTCCATGACAACCACCAATCGCAGCCCAGAGACCCCTCTTTCCGACTCATCCCCGCGAGCAATATGGCGGCTATCCAATGGAAATTCCTCTGGAAAATAGCCTGCCAGCGATTTTGCTGTATCCCCCCCCGAAAGACCAGTTGTCCCTTCTCTCTCGCTCGCGACCCCGGTATGATTTTTATATTTTTTGGTTGCTTTTTCGTTGGGCTTTTTTTAGATGTTTTGATGCTTTTTTTTGTTTCGGTGTTTTTTTGCTGTTTTTTTGCCCTGTCCCTCCTATTTCACGAGACTCTGGGCTGTTTTCTACGACGAAGATGGTTTTTTTGGGGCGAGGTTTTTTGTCTTCTGCGATGGGTTTGGGGGACATCTCCAGGGGAGGTTGGTGAGAGATTGCTGGGTGATGGGAGTTTTAAGTTTTTTCAATGTTGATGATTTCTGTGGGATCATAATCATGATGACACAGGATATTTATTTTAATGGAATAAGTGAAAGTATATTTCAGTTAAAAATCGAATTGATAATCGTTCAAATTTAAGTTTCGGATTTTTTCTGTTACGTCGATCCATTGTGATCCAAAAAGTCCGAAAGCGCAATTTTTAGACTGTGACCGTACGTATGTGCGTGGGTAATGAAGGTTTTCTTCAATTGTTCGCTAATGAGTCGATTGAATTGAATCATTTCTTCTCAAATGCAGAGATCGTCATAATTGTAAATTATAATTAATATTATTTGATTACTTGGATAATCCATAATTCAAGGGGATGATTTTTCAATCAATCGAGATATTGATAATTGATAATCGACAATTAGTATCAATCCTGACCCATTTTTTGATGAATGAATAATGATCTTTGATCCATCAACGATCATCAATTAATTAGTCAATTCTCAGTCAGAATAAAAAATCAACCGGTTAATGTATCAACTGTTAATCCTGTTTAATTTTTTCTCAAGTATTTAAAGAGGAATTAATTGATTCAGGAAATTTCTGAAAAACCCTGATGGTGACTAATTAGGATGGACTAAATCGTTTCACCCCTTTGTGAGGGACTTTTAAAAATTAATTATTTTTTCCTTTAAAAAATGTTCTTGTTTTCATCATGCCCTCCTGATGCCACATATACCTCTCGAGGCTTGAAGATGTTAGATTAGACAGAATTGGATAATTCAATATTCCGAAAAAAGGTGAAGAATTAGTAACACAACTAGCCTCGTGACTGTTGTACAAAGGGGGAGAGACTCGTGCATTATTCTTCTTTGAGATTCACCAAAAACATAACGCCCACTGACACACGCGTCAAGGGACTGGACTGTAATTTGCCCCCCACCCATCCCCGTGGAGTGAAAAAAGGTAGCGCACGTGGATAAGAGTAAAAAGCGGGCCAATTCAAAACCAAAAAACCACACACGTTTTGAGGTTTCTTCATTTATTCATTGTCGAGTGACATCAAATTGCTACTTTCGTCTGCTTTTGAAATTTTCCCAGGGAGTCAAAGGGAATTGCTGATACAGCTGCAACAAAACTCGCTATTCATCGAATTGTCATTTATGGAGGCAATTCGATTATTTCGCAATATTGCTATTAATTATTGCGCCTGAATGGAAGCTTTGTATTTGTCGGATTTTGACATTTTCTAATTTTACTCGGAAATTACGTAGAATGTTATGAAACGCAAAGGAATAATGTTTTTTAGAACATGTCTGTACGTATGGGTGCGACAATTTCGATTTTGAGTGATTTATTTATAAATAGTGAACAATTCGTTGATAAAAATCTTAACTGTCTTTATTTCTGATCATTATTGCGATTTGACATCAAACATGAGCGCAAGGAAAGTGCATACTTTCCACCCTCGGGCGGGAAGTACTTACTTTGCGTGCAGGTCTGGGACAAAATGTTGTACGCTGAGAGAAAAACGACAAAGTTCTCAAACAAGTCTTACTTGTACCAAGAAAATAGTTTTTTGAAAATTATCAAAAAAGGATTTTTTTGTGCCAAACATGCAGAGAGTGCGCCGGAATGAAAAATTTTTGTCGCAAAAATGGATTTAGTATTTCAAAAAAAATTGCATTCTCTGTGCATGCAAGAAATGTCGTTTCTAGCACTACTCCTTCGTTATTCGATACTCCCATACGTATTTTGCTTCCGAAAAATCTTTGTTTTATGCGAAAGAAGAGATAGTAATTTTTCGTTTCGGCTGTCTGATAATCACAGACAATCAATGAACCCTTAAATGAAACAATAATAATGATATGATAGCAATCTTGTAACTTAGGGATAAAATATTTGTTGATAAATTTTCCTCTGTATGAGATATTTTCATCCTGAAAAGGCACCGTCTGGTGTGAATTATCCACCTCTTGAGCCAAATATTTCGTTGGTGTCGGAAGCAGAACAATTATTCATGTTTGAGACTTTCAAATTCGAACCAAACAAATTCTTTTTTGGCAATTTTCAACTAGCGATTTTGTTGGCCCAAACAAGACTTGTTTGACAACGTGTTTGTTTTTCTCTCAGTGTACGCACGATAACTTGAGAAAAAATGAAGATAGTAATCTGAAATTTGTTTTTTTTTGGCCCTTGTAATATTAAAGGTTAGTATTTTGGATGGACGCAATCAGCCAGCGGTTCCCGAGATATTCAACCCCTTGTCCATAAAATATTTAATAAAATATATA